AAATAGCCGTAGCATCTTTGTAGACAACCAAATGTGTGCGCGCATAGGAAAATCAGTCGGATCTCGCAAAGGCACTAAACAAGTTAGGGCCTTCAAAACATAAAATTGGGCTATTTTAATGATTTTGTGATTTTTACAAAATCAGATGCTTGGTTCAATTGCCGTTCGATTTCTTTTTGTTTTATAACGGATAAAACATTAGAAATGTATTTAATCGCCGTTTGGGAGACACACCCGTCGATTAATTACGCTCATGAAAACTCCGAGCTGGGAGGACGAGATGCGCTACACGCTTCCATTCCCGACGCATTTTCGCACCTCTTTGATTCGCAGCTACACACTTTAAGCCTAGTACTATTACAAACCACAAGAAAGCTTGTTTTCTCTACTTCTAGGTGCGCGAAAATTGATAGTTTTAGTAAGATCTTGTCAGTATGTTGGTGTTCTAGCGCCTGCACAATGTCAGTTAGCAATGTATGCTTCGCAAGAAGTTGATTGTTTTTTGTTTTTGTAAAGTGTTTTACGGCGCTCGCAACTGCATAAGGTGATATGAGCGCGCTGGACACACCTAATATTTTCAGTTGGTAGGAAATTTTGAATTTTGCCCGGGTGGCGGCCGAAGCCTACTCTTATCGATTTTAGACCACCAAGGGATCTTTAACGTGCGCAACTTGCACACGGGCCTTCCGAGATTTTTTGCCCTTGTCCGAGAAGGCTAGGTGTAGATCTTTCCTACCAGAAGATCAGGGGTGTGGCTGAAAGACAACAGTAAGGAGGAGCCAAGGAGTAGCAGTAGAAAGGCTGCAGAAAGAGCCAGGAGCCCAGAGGAGGGGGCAAAGGAGGTGAGGGGGTGGGGGCAGAAAGTGGAAATGAAAGCAGACAACAGAACATTGCTAGAGAGCAAGAAAGGAGGTGAAAGGAGACAATTTTAGAGAAGAAAATGTTTCGGTCGCTTCCCGGATTCGAACCCGGGACCTTTGAATGAGAGGTCAACACCTTAACCTCTAGGCCACGAGAGCCCCCAGGAAGTTGAGAATTGTTTTAGGATGCTGTCAGGTCTGCTGGGATCATTGTATTATTGTACTCGTAGATCGCAAAACACATACAGCTTGTGGTCGCGTTCGAATTAGCGCTATACAAATACTATCCATTAGTGTTAGGCTTCAAGAAAAAAAATAATACAAAAGAGGAAAATTGTTGAGTATTTATTGATGATGATTTTTTGTATCATATTCTTGACGAAACCCTTTACCGGGCGAAACGTTGAACCTTTATTAAATTTGAAAAATGTATAAGTCTCAACCCTGTTTTTTTCCCTGCTACGTGCAATAATGATGATGATGATGATGATGATGATGATGATGATGATGATGATGATGATGATGACGATTGCGTGTAATTTTTAAATCTAAAAACTTCAAATGTTCAAGTTTCCACCAACATTTTTTTTCTTATAATACTTATAACAACAATGATGATGATCAACTGTACAATACGATTCTTTTTTTTTAATCCGCCGACCTCAGAGATCTACAATCACCACACCCACACACAGACAGAAAGAAAACAAAATTGAGCAGCATCAGCTGGGTTGATAGTTTGCAAGGTGGAAGACAACTTGGCAAACTTATGTCGTAGTTCCCACGTCCTTAGTCCCATCTAGTGCTATATAAACCCCGCTGTTTAGGCAGAGGCCACAACAGATCTGACTGCAGTGTAAGTTGATCGCTTACTGTTGAATATACAGCCGGCACAATGCTCACAGTCTGCCTTTTCATAACCCTGCTCGGGGTTGTCCCTGCAATTGTAAGTATTCCGTGTCTCAAATAGAATGGGATCTTATAACATGATGCTTAGGGTTTTTTTCTGACTTTAATACAAGCTTCAAAATAGCTTGTGAGTTTATATGGGATTATAATACACTATAATGTAAAAACCTGTTGGATTTTTAAAGCACTAATTATTATCATGATCATAATATATATACATGAACCCTCAAACACACGCACACACACACACACACACACACACACACACACACACACACACACACACACACACACACACACACACACACATACACGCGCGCACGCGCACAGAGAGAGAGAGAAAGAAAGAGAGAGAGAGAGAGAGAGAGAGAGAGAGAGAGAGAGAGAGAGAGAGAGAGAGAGAGAGAGTAGGGGCAGAGATACAGAGAGACAGAGAGACAGAGAGACAGAGACAGAAACAGAGACAGAGACAGAGAATGAGACAGAGACACAACCAGCGACATATACAGAGATAGAGACAGAGACAGAGACAGAGACTGAGACCGAGACAGAGACAGTGACAGGGTCAAAGAGCAAAATATCAAAAAGGAAGTAGATGGGAACTAGTGTCATAAATAGAATCTGCTGTATATTTAATTCGTTCCGCACGATGGAAGACGACCCAAGTCTGAGGCTCTGGTGGTCCCAAAATTGCCCCGGAA